TTCATGTCAAGTCCATTGCTCATATGAATCACTACACGATATCTACTGAATTTGTTGTTGTCCTCGCAAACTAACATTGCCTTTCTTTTTCAAATTCTATGCTGTATGTATTTATTGGCATGCACACCCTTTACCTAAACCTCTTACATAATGTATTTTCTAATTCTTCAACATTCATCCTTGTGAATTTTACTAATGTATTAATATATGTTCATGGCTTTGCATTTTATATTTAATAAAAATTGAGAAGCATAGTATTTAAATGTATCATAATTAAGTCTTCAACATTCATTCTTCTACGTCATTTAAGAAAAATCTCTCTCTCTCTCTCTCTCTCTCTCTCTACATTATTGGTTTATACCTTATGTAGTTTTTCAAATTTGAGCCATGATTATAAAAAATTTATTTAATTAATTATATTTAAAGGTGAAAAATATGCTATAACGGTAAGTTAGTAACACAGCCAATGGGGGTGAGGAGGAGCCTTCGTCTAGTTTATTACTATAGTAGACCTCAACCTGGGGCCTTTGCCAGGCCTCACAACTATGAGTCTATGGTACCTGCTCCTCACGAAGCTAGGCAATCTCAAGAATGAATCCAAGATTACAACAAGTGCCAAAAACCTCAAGAGAATAAAAAGACAAAAAAACAGAGGTAAACTTAAATGGCCCATCCCTAAACAAATCAAGAATTTGCCCGAGCTCCAAGAAGGAGAAAAGGGAATGAGTGTAATGATTGCTTGAGGGGAGAACAAAACAATGAAACAAAAAAGTAAACAGCGAGAGCAAGAGCAAGCAAAAGGCAGCACGCTAGGGCGGCAATGACAGACAAATGTGCGAGAGAGAATGGCACGTCCCCGACAAAGCCAACCCCTACACGATGCATTTGTCTCCTCGTGGAAAAATAAAGAAAGAGGGATGTAGAAAAGGAAAATGAGTCCCCTACCCACGCACGATCAAGCACGTTGAATTCAAAGGCTAAACCTCTTTTATCTTTGTCCATGATTGGACTCTTTTTGCTGGCACTCCTTTTTGCACGCTTCTCTCTATTCTATCTCCAAAATTTGCAGATGCTGTATGCCTATAAAGTGGATGAAACTGCATACACTTTAAACAATTGGTCAAATTATGACGAGGTTAGATGATGATGATGATGATTAATAACCACATGGTTCTCTTGTTGATAATTACTAAATCAAATCCGGCTTTAGGATTTCAGCCCAAATTAAGTTTTTCAAAAAAAATTAAAGTTAATTTAGTTTACTTAACTGATTTGATCAAAACTTGATTTAATTTTAAAAAAAAAATCAAAATAATATTATTTTAAAACAATATCTTTTAAAATGAACAAATTAATATATTCAACATAAATCCAACTAGGTTTAATAACTATTTTGTTAATTATATGTTACAATTGGCTAGGTTCTTCAATACTGAAGACTTAAATGGCAAAGCCTAAGATTAAGTCTCTATTGCATATTTGAGTATCAAAGTGAATTAGTTAAAACTTAGTTCATTTACCTAGTTACCTAGTGACATTTTTTCAGTGGTCGTTGGAGTTGGACAAATTGATGTTATTATTGGGTGTGTTTAATGAATAAATATACAATATAAAATTATTCTACTAGAGAAGGTGAAGTGAAAATCTGATTATGAAAAACGAGATATAATTAATACCTTGTATTCTAATTAATTTGTAAGCGTATATGTTCTAGGCGATATGAATTAGATTTTATTACAGTCTAATACACATCTAACATGAACGTGTTTTGGATTGTACTTGGTAAGAAAAATATTAAAGGTAATTTTTCTTGTCTCTCTAAAAGCTTAAAGGGGTATTATTATGTGTGCATAATCGAGAACATAAAAGCATAAATTTCAAGGAATGCTTGATAGAAATTTTGTAACCATGCGACAAAAATTAAAGTAGATACTTTTTTGAGAAAAAAAGCAACGACTTGAATCATATAAAGACAACATTTTTTCCATTAATCAGAACTTCAAACCCCAACAGGTTTTGAAATCCCAGAAGAACCCTCCTTGTTGCGGCTAGGTTAACATTCACACCAATAAGAATTGACAACTTCATCGGCAGATTTCCCTTTAGTTGTGGTATAATCAAAGAGAAACTATATACACATGATATGCTTAGCTTTGTCTCCATTTCATGTGGGCTCCAATAGGTTTTGTGATCTTTGACCCTCTCATTTTGCTTAGGAAGTGTCATTTCTGTGGCTCGTTCAAGATCTAAGTAGGGTCAATGGTCACAAGTCCAATATGAACGACATCACAAAACCATTGATTCCTTTTGTTTGCTTAACTTATCAAAGGATTAAACCTTAAAAGACAATATTAAAATACAGAGGATGATTATAACTAACTTTAGAGTCGACTCAGCCTAAAATTCTCCTTAAAACAATTATTAAGAAGACTTGTTTATTTAAAAAATAAATAAATCATTATTAGAATTCTTATATTTACTAATAAAATTTTCCATCGGTATTTAACTATCATTCCATTGGTAATGAATTTACCAGCAGGATCACGAATGTGAATGCTCCGTCGATAAAACTCTCATCGGTAATTTTTTATCTGTCAGTGATTCTGTCGATGATAAAAAAATATTTATTACCGATAAATTTACTAATGGGATAAGTGCGTCAAAAAAAATTACATGTTTCATTTCGTCAGTATTTCCCATACGAAGCTTGTCATATAACCGATAAAAATATCGTATGTAATTCCATCAGTGATTATTTAAAAATATTTAAAAAAAATCTATTTAATAGAACTAGAAAATAATTAAATTAATATAAATCAACACTCCATAATACACTGGAACTAAGTTGCTTGGAAAAAATAAGAATAAAATCAATTCAAACAAATTTGCAATAAATAAATAACACAAAAAAATAAACAACAACAACAATAACATCAAATAAATAAATCAACTATAAAAAAATTTCACTTAACCTAGAAAACCTATTTCAGAACACATAATCTAGCAACAAATAAAAGAATTGAATTGAAATTGAAAAACAAAATCTAATAAAATTGATCTCATATGAAAAAAACAAATCCTACAACAACATTTATAAAATTATTAAGAACAAAAAAATTTTAAAAAAATGTAATGCAAAAAAACATAAAAAAAAAAATCTTATCTTAATATAGTTGTGAGTGAGGCTGAAAAGAGAAAAGAAAAATCAAAATCATAAAGTATGTTAATTAAAAAACATTAAGAAGAGAAGAGAAGAGAAGAGAAAAAGACATGCCTTAGCGTGGAGGATAAAAAGAGTTGAGGAGAGAAGAAAAAAGAAAGAATAAAAGGGATGTTGGTGTTTTTTACATAAAGGGAAGAGGGAAGAAAAAGAAGAAGAGGCATGTTTGTTGTAAAATGAGGGATTTTAATCTTTTTACTAGGATATGTAATTGATGGATAATGAAATTCTAATATTTTGAATTATTTCGTCGGTGATTCCATTTGTAAAATTTTATTTAAATTTTTAATTTAATCAAAAAATTTTAAAAAATCCTTAAATATTATTGATGACTTTTTAATCTGTTAGTGATTTTTTTTGTAATATTTAATTTAAAATTTTAATTTAATAAAAAAATTCCAAAAACCCCTTAAATATCACATTTTCAATCCATCGATGATTTTATATGTAAAAAATAGTAATTAACAGTGCAATTAAGAAGTGAATAGTTCCATAACTCTTTGAAAATACTATTGAAATTAATCCGTCAATAATATATTTTGTAATTGACATGATGAACAGTGTCAATGAGAAGTGAACAGTTTACCAAAGGGTTTACGGATAGATTTTACCAATAATATTAATATCGACAGTAATTTTATCTATATAAATAACAATTCATTGTACTTTTTAGTTTTATTTTAATTTTTTTCACTATAATTCTCTCAGTATAATTGATGAAATATTTTTATCGATAAAATTTACTGCAATTTATCAACAAAAACATTCTATTAATGTTTTTATTTGTATTTGTCAATTTTATAATAGTGAATAACAACACTATTTCAAAGAAAAAAGATTAATTTGAAGTAAAATCAAACTTGGATTAGGTTTTGAATTGGATGATTACCAAGATTAAAGTAATCTGATCAAGTTTTATAAACCTAATTGAGGGAGTGTAATACATGTTCATGCAATAGAAAAGTCATTAAAGCCCACCTCTAGACCTTTCTTTTTGTATGTATACATTCATAACGGAAAAATTTGTGATCAAATATTTAATTGATGCTAAATATTGTTTATCACATAGTGGGGACAAAATTTAGGCCATTTGCGATAGAAGTAACTAGCAAGATCATCTTTAATTAACTGCGATAGAAGTAACTAGCAAGATCATCTTCAACATTGTTGAAGTTAATTAATGAGCTTACCTAATTAATGCTGTTTGAAAGTAATCGAGTTCTATTCACACTTGAAACTAAAAAAAATATGAAAGATTACACTTCTGGTTGATGATAATCAAGAAAATTAGCTTTAAAAATAGTAGAAATTATAAAGATTGGATATAGCCAACCTTCAAAAAAAAAATTGAAAGATTACACTTCTGGTTGATGATAATCAAGAAAATTAGCTTTAAAAATAGTAGAAATTATAAAGATTGGATATAGCCAACCTTCAAAAAAAAAATTGAAGGCTGCTTTTACGCTATCGGTACAACTTTTTAATTTTAAAAAAAATATTATTTAGATTTCAATAGAGTTATGCCGTTTCTATCATGAGAACAACACAGCTTATTGAAATGTGTTATTTATCTAATATTTTTTTAGTTTTCTAGTTTGCTAAATATATTTTTTTGGTATGAATGAGCTATTTAAAAAAAAAACTCCAAAAAAACAAAACCGTAATTAAGTTCTCTTGCAGGAACTGTCGTTCTCTACAGTCCTATTCAGTCTCTTTCACTGCAATTTAATACTCCTTAACGGCAAATTCTGGGAACGCATCAAACACAACCAGTCTACAATAACTTCAAAATCTTTTCCTTCTCTTGCTTTCTTTAAAATCAGAGTACATTAAAGACAAAATGCTCAATAACGGAACTCCAGTTCTACACATACATTGAAGAAAAGTAGATAAAGACATGCCTTGTACTGCCAAATATCATTACAGAAGACAATCATATGAAATCTATGTAGGAGATTGACATGCCTTGTACTACACACTGAGAAATACTCTTCAACTCTACTTGGAAACTCGCTTGAGTTTTTTGCTTTTACAGACACCGTAGTCACACAACGTCCAAAGATTTTTGATCTTCTTCGTCATCTTCAGTTCAGATTCTTAGATTCTTCTGCTCTATGATCCCCTTACATGTAAGATATGATCCCATGAAGGAGACTGAGAATATCCTAAAACCCTAGACCAGTTAAAAACCCAGACTAAATGACACAAATACGTTTCCCTTCTTTTTTTTTATCTTCAATTCTTTGGGGTTTACACTAAAACAAACAAACCCACACAATAGAGATTAATACAACACAAGCCTGCAACACCTAAGAATATCCCAAAAAAAAAGATTAAAAGGAGACTAAGACAAGCACATGAACGATATTAATCATCATTGGATTACTAATTTTCGGTCTAATACCCTTCTCCTTTTCGATCTTTCGCTAGAATTCGAGCGTTCTAGTAAAGACTTCAATGCATTTTGCAAGAAATGGACCGACTCGACACTATGATCTTTGTCAGCCGCAATGATAAGAACATTCCTAATTCTTCCTCCTAGTGTTACCATTTCTGCTTTCAATGTCTTCAAGTGTAGAGATTTCAGTATCTCGATTAGGTCTGGCATGAGATCCGATCGGTCTTCACAGCACAGAGATGCCTTGAATATTAATTGTCCATCACTTGAATATTCACCAGAAAGTACAGTGACTTCATCGGTTTCTGATGGGAAAGATTCAAGTCCAGGAAGCTCTGAGGTCTGCTGTTTCAGTTCTCTAACTCTTTGAACAACCTTTGCTAGAAGTGAAGCTTTGTCTGTCTGTAAAAATTGAAACAAAGTAAAAGAATCGATTAGAAACCCTAGCTAGCTTTAGTAGATTCTAAATGTAAAAAGCCTTCCAGCTTTCCAAAAAGCACAAACCCTATGTAAAGAAAAGCAAAGAAAAGGGTTCGCTGCTTTTGCTTTTGCAGGTATCTGTACTTGCAGTTTGAACAATAATTCAAAAGTTTCAGAAGACTTGTTTCTGAAGATCCAAGGTTTCAGAATCTGAATTTTTACTGTATCAGCGATAAGCCTAATATAGATCCTTCCCGTTTGGTTACCAAGAAAATGAGGGATAGAAACGGATAAAAAAAAATTCAATGAGTGAAGCACATAAACCCTTGTTGTTAATCTTCAAAAAATGGGTATTCAAGTAAAAAAAACAAATGCCAAACGATTTGAGTTGGGCTAGTGTCAAGTCTGTCAGCAGGGATTTCGGCTTTGTGGGTCAAAGATAATTAATGACTGAAAAGTCTAAAACTCGAAATTTCAACTTTTTCCACTACATTCTCAGCAACCAAACAGTCAAAATTATTGAAGCAAAACACTATGGAAAACCCCGAAATCAATACCAATTCGTTTCAAGTTCTGTATGAATCCCAAAAGAGAAATAAAGGTAAAAACAGCAAGAACAAAACTACAATATTTTCCATGAAAACCCCTTCAAAGCTTACAATCTTTTTAGTTTTCTTGATCCCTTTCTCTTATAAAACAATTCTCTGACAAGAAATTTTAGGGAAAGAGTTTTGATGTAATCCCTCAAACTTCATGAGTAGAAACATGATCAATTCAGAAAGGAAAAGAAAAGGAAACACAAGATCATATATCATAAAATATGTATATTACCTTGGAATTGCAAGGAAGGAGGCCTCTGAGCTTATCAAGATGAGAGTTAATCCTCTCTCTCCTTCTCTTCTCAGCTTCCTTGTGATTCTTCAAAGCAGCAAGAGCTCTATCTTCTGGTGTCATGTCAGTTATCACAGACCTTTCAAAGTGGTAATTACTGTTATGGTAGGAAGTGGAAGATGAGGTACACAAGGTTTGCATCGCAGCCGGAAAACCGTATGGACCAACGTTAATCATTCCATTCTCGGTAAGAAACCGGTACAACTGTGAATTCTCCTGACAGTTTTCAGGCTGCATGTTGATGTTGTGTTTTCGGGTTGCCGTAGGAGAAGATAGATGACCCGCAAGTGAAGATTTTCAGTCCTCTTTGTGTTAAAAAAAGTAGAGGGCTCTCTATCTCTGCCTTTCGGTGGTTTTGGGTTTTTTTCTTTTAAGAAAAAAGGGGCATTTATAGTCGTTTGATTTGACTTATTATGTCGTTTTAGGATAAGGTTATGTGCAAAAGTAGTGGACCCAGCATAAAGGAGGTCTAATGATAATGGGAGCTAGGATATGTGTGGTCTTTAGATTTTTGAAACCTTATGGTACCCTTCTCTTATTTACATGTTCAGTACATTTCTTATTTTATTTCTAATTTCCCTCTTGTGATCTTTATTTTATGGCCAGTTTGTGGTAAATACCGGTAAATTAATCAAATTACATCTATAAAAACCGATTTGAAATTAACCCAACTATATGTTCTTTCTGATTTTTTTGGTTAATTTTGGTTAAAAACTAAAAAAAAAAGGTTCAATTTGGTCTTGAATATTTCTCAAACCAAGATAAATTAAAGGTCTATTAATTAAATCAAAATTTGTTTAAAATAATCTAATTAAAAGGCCAGTAGATTTATGAATTGCAAGCCACATGATTGCAGCATGATCTTAGCTCCTTCCTTCTCCAAAAAACAGTGATGATAGTTCATCGATGATGAATTAATTAATTAATTATATATAAACAGTGCTGATTCATCAATCATTCAAATTGTTTTGGTGCCTAAAAATTTGTCCATGTGATAATTTTATAAAATTAAGCCAATTCTGAAAAAAGGTTTATAAAAATCCTTTTTTCCATGAAGTTGTAAGATGGGAACTCAAATTCCACGCTCTAAAAGAAGATATATGCTGACCCAAATCCCACTAGCCAGTCCTTAACTGTAATTCGTATAATGTATGGTCCAATGGTAAATAATCTTCATTAATGTATCTGTAAGATTATCTCAGTGTATTATTTTTTTTAATATTAGTTTTTAAAATCAAAATCTTCGAATTCATTGAAAGGCAGGTAGAATGCACCCCCACACCATTAATTAGTCCCCAAATGTTAAAGCACAACTCTTCTCGACATTAATCTTATTTGAAGTGTCGAGTAGACCGGCGGGTCAACTCAGTAATATGCCAATTGTCAATTTAAAATTATTTTCAAATTAAAACAAATGATTTTTGTACTGATTGATTTAATTAATTAATGGGTCAGTCCACGGCATGATCAATCTGATTATATCCTGATTTAATGTGTTATGATAAATAAACTTTTCAAAGCAATATTGTTCTAATTTTTATTTTTAAATAAGATAAGATAAAATAATATTATTTAAATTAATATGATCACCCTAGATTAACTCACCTAACTCATGTCTCTAACCTTAAATTGAGTCGTGGAAAAGACAGTCTTAAGTGTCAAAGCAAGTAAGCTATTAATTACTGATGATTCGCAATATTATTTTTGGTTGGTGCAATTTTTACAAATTAATTGTGGTCAAGTGAAAACATTATGGCGGTCAAAAGTTTTTGTTCTTCATCATAAACAAAGATCACAGGGCAATTAAAAGGAGAAAATAATCAAGTACCAAAAATAGCAAAACATTATTGGATTCTTCTTATAGAACACAGAATATCATTGCAAAATTGCAATGATGTTGAGGAAAGGCAAATGAATAAACAGGGGATCCTAAGTCCAAAAACAATCCTTTAAAGATTATAAAACTTGATTTACTTAGGTTAACTCGATAATTAATCATTTTATAACTTGATTTGAGATGAGTTTTATTTTAAACTAGTTTTTTAATTAAATAATATTATTTTTAGTTCTTAAAAATAAAATTGTATTTTAGATTGACCTACCAATTTACAAGTCAGCTCATCTATCTTGCACTCTCTCTAGATCTTTAGCAAAGTAGACTCCAAATTAGGCCATAGTTGTAACTATGGTCCATTTTGATAATGAATTTCGTTCTTTAGTAATACAACTCCTGGCTTTGCACACAAGCCTTGACAAGGATATTGGGCAGGCCCATTGTAACTCATCTAGAGGCATGTTTCTTTTGTGAAGATACCAGCTGAAGCCCTAAGGTTGACAAGGATATTGGGCAGGCCCATTGTAACATACTCATCTAGAGGCATGTTTCTTTCGTGAAGATACCAGCTGAAGCCCTAAGGTATCTGGGAAAGGTTTAAATAAACAGTTAAATTAATTTCCATTTATAAATGCACTTAAATAGACTGAAAGGTTTTGTGCATATCTTATTATGAGATCTATTATCTCTTTTTTTAATCCGAGAGGAGACTCGAGGATTTGAATATGAGATTTTTTCATAAAAATTAATTTACTAATTTAAGAGGATAATTTAATTGTTAATTTCTAATCCAAAAGGCTGGCATGGAGGTTTGTTTAATATTATTTAAGAAGGGATTTAGCTTCAGTTAATGTGTGGATTAGTCTAACAAGATAATTTTATTTTTAATTATTTTTTTTATAAAAAAAAGGAAAGGAAAAACAAACACAAGATTAAGCATAAAGATGAGGTTTTATCACAGCTAAGAGAAAAACTAGCCCTTTAAGTTGGATACGAGCCACCTGTAAAGCCTGATAAGTCATTGGAGAAGACCATCTGGTTCGGACCTTTGCTGTCAATTGTCTTTGCTTGAGTTGGCAAATGGGCTTGAACGTCATACAAGCACTCATTTTTTGAAAATAAAAATAAAAATTAATTCAACCTATAGGACATGCACATGAACATTTTTAGAGTTAGGTTGCCATATAAAAAGTTAAATCCAAAGAGTATTTTTATTTATTTATTTCATAGTGGCGATGAGACCTCAAACCATTTGCTAAAGTGGCATGGCATAATATTTGAAAGATTTTCTTTAATGGAAAATGCATTATCTCCTGTTACATTAGTTGTTAACATAAGAAAATTATTGTAATTGATATTCAATTCTCGTATGAACTAAACACTTACCTATTTATTAATTTAATTTTAATCTAAAGAGTTAAATATTTTATAATTTTTTTTAAACGAATTTGTAATTGGATCACTAGATCCTTCACTTTGAAAAATTATAACATAAACTAGCCTTACTATTTATTCACACTCGCAAAGTGATTAATCACTAATTATTTTATAATATGTCTCGTACAAATATCCATGTGAATGGATTAATGCATTATTATTGAACTTATGTACTAGGTTCTTTAACTTAGAAAAATTTTAAAATATTAAAATAATAAATTTTAATTAAATTATAAATTATCTCGTCGGGTTAACAAAACCAATTCTAAATCAATTCTAAATTGATATTTTTAAACTTGATTTATGATAAAAAGAGGTTTCAACTAGAACCCAAGTTGATCAAAACATAAATAAAAAAGGTTGGGTCAATAAAATTGGATTCATGGGGAGCGCACATTATATTTTTTCACTTAATTGACACCAAGGTTCCTTCCGAGCAGCCTCCCTCCATCCATGGGAGAGTCCACCTATTTTGACATGAAGGAATGTGGAAGAAAATATCGTTGTTAACAAGATATAATATAGAGCTGCCTAAGATTTATTTGGAACTTTCGACTTCTTCTCTTTCAAAACATGACCAATCCCTGACCTTCCACTACACTTCAAGCAAGCAATTTGTCTACGAGGTCATCGCCAATTTAAACAAGTCTTGTTAACATACAAATTTAGGTATTGCTACTATCCAACCTAGCTCATAAAGTTGCTATGGTCACAAATCATGTGAGATCAAATCTCACTAGCACTAAAATTCAGTAAGTCTTCTTCCTCAAATGTGAGCTACACGTAGTCTTGGTGTTTTTGTATATAATCTTTCACTATTTATTAATCTTTTTTTAGCATTGCGAGGAGCTGCGTGGTTAATTACGATATTAAATGGATACGACTGCAAAGGTTTATTATAATCTCGCGTGATTAACCATGTTACATAATAGATATAATTGTGCGATTGATCATAGTCACAAACAACACATAAAAATTTATTTTTAAAATATTGATTCATCTGGAAAACTTCAAATCGGTGTCTCAAACCCACCATCATTAAATTTTTCTTCTCTTTCTGCCAACCATGCTAGGGTTTCCATATTTCCCATTTCCCGATTATTCAAAAACATGCAGCCAGTCCTTTCACATCAAACCTTCCTCCGACATATTTTCTGGCCATGGCTTCCCCATAAAACTAGCCTTTCATCTGACTATACAGCTTCTTGTAACCTCAAATGTCTTTCGTAGCATTATACAGGCAAATGGGGTGGTGTGATTATTCAATATTCCAGGTACGCTGATCTTCAGCTCTAGTCACTAAAAAATTTAAAGCAAAAGGGCCAAAACTACGTAAGGCCTTGAGGGATGCTTAGTGGCCATGAAAGTGGAACACGTGCTGCACATTGTATGGAAGATCATGAAAAAGAAAAATAAGAAACTGGTTTCATCATTATATTCACTAGGGTCATCTCGAACTTTTCATGCTTCAATTGGTGTCTTCTGAGCCATGAAAATAAAGAAATGAAAAGCTGAACCCACTTGTGATATTAATTAGGGCCAATAAGCTGCGTTGTCTGCTGTGGATGGAGATTGTGTCACATTGCACACATAAAAAGAACTTTTAGTAGTCTCTGCCACTGACGGCATTCTGCAGATTACGAGTAAAAAGGCAAATTGCTGTATTCTCTTTCCCGCAATTATTTAATTATAATTCCATAAATTAGGCATGCTTGGTCTGAGAATTCGGCTTTCGATGAGGTGAAATGATGGAACATCATTTGATCCTCTAATTTTCAATCGGCATGCAGAGATATAGGTATGGCCATCAGAATAGGAAATGTAGCAGAAGCTGCGGTGAGTTACAGAAGTGATTCATTTTAAAAAAAAAAACATAATTCTTTTGCTAGTTTGTGCCTCCGCTTAGAAAAATTATCCTTGTCTTTATTTATGTTTTGGGTTGGAGTAAATTATTAGAATTCATCCCTGTCGAAGTATTAATCAATATTTTTCATAAATTTTACGAGCAGTAGCTCTTATCTTCATATTTTTCATTTTTTAATTTTAAATATATATATACTTTTTATGAAGAAAAAAAGTTTCGTTAAATTTTGAAATCGTAAAT